TATTATATTAATATTCGTAAGCATAATAGTTTAGAAATTATTAAATTTTAAATTACTTCTCTCTTAATTATTTTAATTTGTTTCATTAAGGTAATTATATTAGGTTAATTATATTAATTATAGTTATATGTTTCATTAAGTTAATTATATTAATTATATTAAGTTAATTATTAATTATATTAATTATATTTGAATTTGTTTCATTAATCCGAGTAATATTCATTGAAGTTGTCAACTATTGTGGGAAGTTTTTCAAATTGAAATGACACATACTTCCTTTTTTTGCATATCATAAAAAGAGATGAATTAATCACTATTCAAAAAAGCGATCATTACTGTGTATGTTATGCATGTGTGTGTGATCTACTTTTACAAATTCGGAATCTCATATCCATGAGAATTTTTTGATTTGATCCATCATCCTTCATAGACACTCTCTCTTCATTCCTTTCTTTTCTTTTTCAATCATCTTTTCGTGTTGTTTATTTATGAAAAGAAATTCATGAATTTTATCTACCTCTCTCTCTCTCTCTCACTCTCTCTCTTTCTCAATAAATTTATTAAATTTCCTTTCACAACTGAAAAGTATTTCGTTGACATACGAAATAATTCTCAATGGTTTAATACCTTTTGCAGCCTTTTTTTTTTCAATCAAATAAGTAGCTCATGAAATTTGCCTTTCTTTTTTGTTTCCCATGCCTAATTATGGTTATTTGAAATTTTAGGATATCAATAATTAAATAATTAATAATTACTACATTCGTATCTTTTAAATCATCCATTTCACTCTTTACACTGTTATATTCTTTATTTATAATATAGATTTATTAATTATAGAAGAATATTTTAATTTATATTATTACTATTATTTATTATTATTTATTACTATTGTTTATTATCATTGTTCTTTATTATTTACGTCGTTACTATTATTTAATATTATTTATTATAATCTATTGTTATTTATTACTATTATTTATTGTTATTTATTGTAATTATAATTATAATCAAATTTGATATTGATGCCAAGCTTATCATTTATCATATTATCCGATATCAGTTAGCTCTATGAAAATTAATTAATATTTGAGATATATACATTACATACATACATCTCTTCAATCATATCTTTTTCTTTTCCCTAAATTTCATCATTATACTTATCTATATGAATAGTAATATTACTATTAAATTCATGAAAATATCGCTACTACTCTATCCACTGTTAAACATACAATTTATTTTTCATTTCAATTTTTAAATCGAAATTTAAAAAAGAGAAAAAAAGAAGCGAAACAAGTCTGAAATGTACTTTATGTATAATTATTGATTTCACTTTAAATCACTGCAATTCATGATTTCTTCATCTCATCATGAAAGGATACATGCAAAGCGTTCCATTTCCGCTAAAATAAATCGAACAACATGGTAAAAGATGTATGATTGATCAGAGAGAAAAAGAGATAAAGAAGCAGAGAGAAAGAGAGAGAGAGAGAGAGTTATTCAAATATTTCGGAATTCAGTTAAAAAAGGGGGATTTAAAAAAAAAAAACAGATTTAAAGGAATGCACCTGCTGAGTAAATTGCTATTCATTTCAGTATTGCTAAATTTCAAAAGGCTATCATCATCGTCTACCATAATATAATTTTGAATTAATTCATTTCAATCATATAATATACCTATTGTAGTAAAATATGCAAATATAATAATGTAATATTCAATATATAAAATAAAATGGGGAATGATATAATCGAAAATAAAAACACGAAGAATTTAACTAGCGAGAAAAACAACATTTCGATAATATTATGTAAATAATGTAAACATAATTATATAAACAATATGCTTTCAATTATATATAACTTTGCTCACTTAGATATCACATTACTAATATATTCTATTTTAGGTATATTTTGCAGCTTCACCCCTCTTCATTTTTTATTTTATTATTCCGCTGGTTATTTCTTTTTTCCCATAGTATTATCATTTTGTAGTGAAGAACTAAAGAATAGAAAGATGTAAGTTCAAATCATTCGGATCACTCAAGTTATTCAATACATACGCGATTATCTCAATCCATTTTGATCCATTCATCATTTTCATTATTGAAGAAAATAGATGATAACAGTTTTGGTCAAATGATCTTGTATAATCCAATTTGCATATCATTGCTTTTGCTTCTGTTGTTTTATGTAACCTTCTTCAATCGTAGTTATTTGAATATTCATGAAGGAATCCCATTTTTGTAAGATAGTACCATTAAAGAAAAGCGAAAGAAACAAAATCAAGTAAAGGGGAAAAATTTTCTAGAAAACTTTTCTTCCCCTGATTACGTAACCTTTCAATGTTGTTTTGAAATAAGTTTTAACGAATTGAGATGAAAATCTCTCTCTCTCTCTCTCTTTCGTTTCTTTCCTCATTGCTTACGACAATCACGAATATTCAACACGTGTATTTACAGCAACAATGACGTTATCCATTATTTAATTATTCCATTTCATTTCTATCTGTTGGTTTGGTTATCGTTTATAGATGTATGTAAGAAGTTAAATTTTAGAAATACATCAAACAAAAAGAAAGAAAACAAAAAATAATCCTAATGATTCATTTATCTGTCGATTAATGAATAATGATACAAGTTGATAGAATTGTTCGTTTTTTCTTGCTCTAACTCTCTCCCTCCCTCTCTCTCTCTCTCTCTCTCTTTATTTTTGTTGATGTTAAAAGTGAAATGAAAAAGTGTTTAGATAAATAGATTTCCTGTCATCACTAAATTTCCAAAATTATTACAATGTGACAACAATTTCTTTCATCTCGTGTTCATAGATGTACATCATAATTTGATCCCACTTATATATTATATATGTGTATAGATATTTTAATCGGGGGATTATAAATCAGCTAATTCATCCATACCGATTACTAATACAGTTAGAATTTTTCTCATTTAATGGGAATGATATGATTCAAACTTGCTTGCCATATATAATAATATCACTATTGATTGCTTAAATCGTTTGATATAATTAAATATAATATGTTTGTGTAGTTTTCATCATTTTAATATGGAAAATTTTTAGCGTTCGCATTATATCACTCTATTTCGCCTACTCTTTTTTCATCGACTAATTCGTATTATAAAAATAACAAGTAATATTTTCATGAATATTTTCCATATTGTTAGATGATAGGGTTACACAGAGAGGGAGAGAGAGGAAATGTACACGAAGTAACCCAAGACTTCATATTATCAAATTTCGGGAATCATCATTTAAACCAACAAGGGAGTTACTGAAATATCTCACTGCTATCCACACGGCTCTAATTATCAGTTATTTACACGGATCTTCTCAAGTGATTCATGATTGGTTTAGTGCTGTACGTGTCAGTTCACATGCCATTTTACCTAAAAAAATGCTGACGAATCACTGGATACTGTTTCTTTTGCCCTGATAATAATATTATTGCTATCCAGAGAGAGCTGTCGTAAATCATAAATTGATTGTTTTGAAAATCTCTTCATGCTTTTAACTCACTAAATTTTATGCTTCTTCTAGTCAATATGGGGAACGATTTCTTATTTGCTCTTGAATTTGATTTTATGTCCAGTAATTATTTCCATTACTTAGCGTAATTTTTGTTTATATCTAAAACTGAAGTTGGAACGTTCTTTCCGTTCATTCGTTTAATTTAATTCCTGCGTTATTTTGTGATTTTCTTTTAATTAACATTTCTTATTTCTTTTGTTTTGCCACGCAGTCTTATTTGATGAATGGTTTTTTTTAAATCTTAAATGAGAATAGTTAAATGTGTCAAAGAAAGCATACTTCAATTATCCACTAAACCAAATTCATCCAAGATTTTTTTGCATATTTTAGTGATAGTTTTAAACTTCGCCTATCTATTTTAATCTAAGTCGTAATTTAATGAAGTGAATTCAACGCGGGAAATGTTTTTTTCAATTGCTGATTCAAAATAATGTAAGTTATTGGATTGCAAGAAATTTAATTTATTTCATGTTTTGAGAAACTTTTTCACATATTTGTTGAATCTTCTAGATGAAATGAAAGTTAAAATTTAAGCAAGAAATAAAAAGAAGTTGAAGTTCAAATATAGATTGTGAATTCATAAAATTTAACATATTCATACTAATTCTTAGGTATTTAGTCTTACATTTGTGATAAAGCATAAGCGTAAGCTATTTTTTTTCTTCAGTTTGGTCTAGAAGTGGATTAGATATAGTTTGACATAAATTTTGATAAATTTTACTGAGTTTGTCAAGAATTGGAATTGAATTCGAACTTGTGTTCAATATATGTTGTAATTTAAAGTTACAGATAATTTAGATTTGAAATGCATTCAAAAGCATTTTCCCCATTTGTTCTTATATTTCATTTATGCTAATACTAATTTTGCCATTCATTTCTCGATTCTTATCCTTTACCGATAAAGAAATGTTTTAGTTTTTCACCATTCCAAAAGTATAAATAAATCGTTTGTAATATTCGCGTGACTCGAACGTTTAAGAATCGTTCTAATATTCCGTTTTTGTTGTTTTTTTAAATGTCCATTTTGATGCGAGCGCCATAGTGTAAATTATATTGAACTTCAAATACTCACTACATTACAATGTTTAATTTTTTTAAAGAAAGACCATTTTCAGAACAAACAAATACCTCTGAATGTGCGCGTAAGAGTGGTTGTTCTTCATGTATGCGTACTTGGTTTCAAATTATGCCAGATAAGTGGACGCACAAACGAATAGACGCTGCTGTATTCTTTTTTTCCTCTACCTTTTAATCACCTTTCCTTTTTACTGGTTTGAAATTTTCCTGAAACACCAACAACATAGTACGAGAAAAATACATCGAACAAATGCAATCCATTTTACCTGTTTTAGCCATTTTCTTCAGTAAGTTTCCTCCTTTATTTTTGAAATGTTTTATTCTTTCTTTATTAGCATATAAAATGAAGAATGTGAGCTTATGATATATATGATATGTACGTAGCATATTTGCGTGACTCTTATAGTGATTATAATAAATGTATGTGAATAGTGATATATTTTCGATGATTGTTGTTTTTTTGAAACATTTCAATTTTATCTATCCTCTATTTAGGCTGTCGATAATGCCAAGAATATTCAAGATTTTTTGTTTGCTCGTAGTTCTTGTGAGATAAACATAAATAATATTGTGGAGGAAGTGAATATTGATCATTTATCAATTTCATTAGTGCTGATCACAAAAATTTCATTTTTACAAGAAATTTTCGATTGACAGGTTATTCGTGCAATACAATCCTACTCACTGGCAGTAACTCGGTTGCACAGGGTAATTTGGCAGTACTTTTCAACGCTACTTCAGCGAAATCAAGTGATGACCATCCTCTCAAGGCCAATGTACCTAATTTATGGTAAATTCAAATTTTTCTATTTACTTTTCAGCCTAATATTTATTGTAGATTTGAAATCAAACCACCCAAATTTGTGTATTTAGAGCAAGAAAAAAACAAAGTGATTTCTGACTCTTAGTTTTTACCCGTTTCAATTCTATTGAAAAGGAAAGAGGGAATTGAATCGAAAGAGTAACATTTGAATTTCAGCAGTCAAATAGTTCGAAGGCTTAAAGTCGGGAGAAATATAGTAGCATTATTTGTTCTCACTTTTACTTGTTAAAGCTAACTTTCATCGAACATTGTTTTTCAGGTGTCAAGCAATATTGAACGAAACTCAACAGTTGATACCCATCAGAGAAGCTCACTTTGTACGAGATTTGGATAAGGAAATTCTCCCTGCGATTGTCATCAATCAGTCACGAGCATTTTTGGAATTTGGGAACACATCAGTTTTGAGTGTAGGACGATATCGCTGCGAAATTACAACCGAAGAGAACGAATTAGTATGGGGATGGTTATTCGTAAATAGTTAGTTTTTTATATCACTGAGTGGTTATAAAGGATTTGAGGACTTATAAAATTTCCTGACCTGCTTCGGTTGCTTCGGAAAGCGTGTAGATCAGATTTCATAGACATTACTTGTTTGGAAATACTTCATTGTTATCATTGTAGTGCGCCCCGTCTTCCATGTGAATCATTCGAAGACACTGGATGCAGTAGGAGACAATCATTTCCGCGTTAAAGCTTCCGTTCTGAGGGCAACGGAAGGCGAAACAGTAATACTAAGTTGTCCTGTACGAGGCTTTCCAGAACCAACCACTCAGTGGTATAAAAATGATGTACCTGTTGGTAAGTGTTATATAGTTGCATATACTTGACATAAGTAGTAGTGATTAATATAATTAGGAACCAGAAATTGGCATCTATTTTGATGAAAAAGACTTTAATAACCAGAAGAAAAAAAACAACCTAACTTAATGATTTTGACTTATCGGATGTACTTTTTATTAAATAATTTGTAATGGTTCACAATTTTTTACTCATTGAAGCGGGAATTGTTGCAGCGTCGACGGAGCAGATAACCTTCTTAGAGAAAGACCTGCAAATTGCGAAAGTTGAATTTGATGATGAAGGAATTTATTCATGTGTTGCGCGAAATTCATTTCCTACATATTATGAAGGCGAAAGTATCCTGTGGGAATCACGACTAGATCGTGAACTTAAAGTGAAAAGTAGGTTTTGACACTCAAGTATAATTTATTTACTTAAAAAAAAAAGAATTAAATGCGCAGCTGTGTCCCTACAAGGAGGGAAAAGGCTGAAAGTACGGAATGAGAAAAATGATTTAGCAACTTTGAAGAGGAAAGGGGAACTAACTTATGGAAGTTATTTCTCCTTTTCCTCAATTACTTCCGAATTGCTTAGGATTCATTTTTAAAATAAGTCTGTAGGGAATTTGGACATTTGAAAGTTTCCTTTTTTACACTTTTTGTTAGCAATTCGGAAGTAACACTGAAGTAGTGCATCGCGAATCTCAAATATTTGATACTTAGAGTAAGTTAACCTGAGATAATGACAGACCAGATAAACAGCGGAATATAAAGCATTTAACTTCTTTTCTCTTTGACTTTGAGACAATGGGGAAGTGTCGAAATGAGAAAATTGAAAAGTTAATGCATTTTTTCTAGAAGTTCAAAATTCGTGGAAAGTTAGGGACATCGTATATACCGTTTTTACGTTAAAAAAACGAAGATCTGATTTTTTATTGAAATTATTTATAACGTGCTTTTTTCGAAGTCTGATTAAAAAAGACAACACTTACTATTATTTATTCACTTGCACATTTTTGAAAGGTTGACTATCATTAATTTTGAGTCATTGCTCGCAAGACAGAACATAGACGAAGAATTTCTAAATCCTAAGAAAGAAAAGTGTTTCTATTATATATATATTAATATGTAAAATTCTCACCTTTATAAGCACGGTGATATTCGTATAAACTATAAACTACCACTCTCATCTGTTAATATCGGAATATCGGAGATAAGGATATAAAATTATAAATGTAAATATCAAACATTGAAAGTCATGACAGACAGAGGTCTTCATCTCTGCTAACTTCTTACTTGCAAACTTGATTAATTTTTGCTGCAATATATTTTCAATTTGCTACAAGAACTTGTTTCAACAGATATCTTCATGGCTGTATAGAATACTTAATGCTAAATTGTAAAGAAAAGTTCGTTTTTGAAATCAGTAAAGAGATGCTGCATTAGATCGCTGAACAATTCAAGTAGTGTTATATGTACAACTTTCTTTATTTAAGGTTTGACGTGGTTAGAAAACCGTATCATTTCAAAGCAGATTTAATGGTTGTAAAACTTTGACTTTCTAGGCTCATACAGATGGGTTTATCCACTAGTAATTATCATCATCATGTTGTTGTTGTTATTCATCATCATCTATGCATGCTCGGCTTTCAATCGTTATAAAACATACAATGTTGAAAAACGCGAAAGGTGTGTTGGTTTATTAAATTTGGTTCCTTTACTTTACTCAACTTCTATGTAATCAGGAAAGTTGTAAATTTATGTCCATTGATTAATATCTATTTTATTTCTTACCGCAAGATGAATTTAGACTCCCTGGAATTGGAAAAAAGCTATCATACTATCTCTGCTACTTCAGTTGATAAAGAATTTATTATTTTGCTATTTGATGAATTCATATATACTAGTAGAAAGTTTATTATTTGCAGACGGAAGAAGCGACTAATGAATCAGAAATATAATGAAAATATGTCACAGCAGCAACCAATCTTAGGTTATAATAACGAATTGGAATAAAATCCGATTACCGAAGAAAAAGGAAATATAATCATAACGGATTTACATTCTTCAAATCTGCTTTTTGGCACCACTGCCATTCAAAAAAGTTCGGAAAAGCTACTTTTTATAAAATTTTTTCTGCGAATGTTCTGTTTTAAGGAATGTTTTAATATGTCTTTTGATTCAATCGTTTTAGTAATATATAAATATACGCTGAATAATGTGTGCCTCGGAGGTTTTCATTCTGCCCGCTTAAAAAAATTTTTTAGTTATGATTTCGTATGCAATTTATGTATTCCTTCCTGATTGAGTTCTAAATTTTTTTAAATTTAAAATGCGACACCTTTTCTACCTCTGATTCTTTTGAATGCTTTTGGTCATCAAATCTCTTTTTTTGAAGGAATCAACAATTTAACCAAAAGTTCTTTCTTTTTATTTATCTGCCCTTTGAAACTCCTGCTTTCTTCTTTTGCTGTCAAAAATTCCAAATCAATTTGAAGATATATACTTTCAGTCTTTAACAAAACTTTTTCTTTACTGTGAAATATTCCTCCATTACATATAATTTGATGTATGTAATGAACGACTTTCAGCTTTTTTCAAATTTTAGTTTCGTTATATACATTTGTTAAGCTGTCATCATTTGCCACCCAATTCTGTATATATATATCTCATATGTGTAGTAATCCTTATGCCAATAAATCCCAATTTTTTCAGGTTAATAGAAGTTAAAGGAATAGTATTTAAAGAAAATTTGAGCTATTCACTAAGATGATAATTGATTAGTGTATTACAAACTGAGGCCAATTATCCGTTCTACAAATATTGCATTAATACGGAGAAAAATAAAGAGATATTGGTTATGAAATTTTCAACCAACTTTTACACTTTTTCATCCAACATCTTCTTTGAAATTGGAACTCTAGCTTGCATCATTTTTGGGTAAAATAGGGGAATTATGAATTCCTTGCTTGTTTTCGTAAAGCAACGAAACCTTTATTTTATTATTACTACTTATATTTGTTATCATCATGTTATCATCATCTGAAAATATGGATCATTTTTTTTTAATTCCTATAAAATATTGATATTTTATCAATTTTTTTGTGTGAACTGTTGTATGCAGACATTTTTTTGTTGTTTTGATATTTTGATATCGTACTTCTTTGATAATAAAAATCTCTTCTAAATAATTTAAATCCAACCAGGGCAAAGTAATCTTCAAGAAATCATTTACAATGCAATCAAGTGAGAGGATTTAAATTCTCCAGTTTAATATTTAAATACTTTTGCTTTGATTCATGAAATTCTTAACAAGGAAGAAAATACGAGTTCAATCATTCAAATAGTAATTAGACAAATGAACGATCATTTACCCATTCGTGAAATTTATATTTAAAACAAGATAGAACTAATAGAACTTGCTTAATTATTTGTTTTATTTTTAAAAGTCAGGATTTAAAAATTCTCAATTTTCCCAAATCACTAAATTTTTAGAATATTTAAATTATTCAATTAACACAATGAACATGTTTTCTTGCAAAAAGTTAGCATAAGTTGTCGGTAACTTCGATGATCGCATAACGATTGGCTACATTGGGGTGCTATATCCTGACATCGCCATCTATTCATCTCATTCTGCATTATCGTTTGACCTACAAATTATAGAGTTATTGACTAACGATCCAAAAAGATATCAATATTTTTAAAAGGGTCGTAAAAACTTGGGAAATTTTTATCGAAATTACTAATTGAGATTGAAAAAAATTGAGTATTCTAAATACATCATATATTTCCGGACATCTCTTACCTGTCCGATATTCATAAATGCATAAATTGATTGATTTGTAAGATCTTCAATATGATAAAATATACTGTTCGAATCTTTACGAAGATATTTTTTTTACATTGAAAATGAAAAACATTCAAAGGTAATTTTTCTTTCAGCTGTTCCTATTTTCTTTCAAATTACAACAAATTTCAATATAAAGTTTAAAGTTCATTGCTCCATGGAAAAATTGATTGATGGAGATACCTGGTTGACACAAATTACATGTTTTCGGACATTCTCTGCGCATCAATTGTGCATACCTTCGTTCACTGCATAAATATCGTTTACCTAAAATTGTTTATAAATTTCCATTAAAATATAAAAGCAATCAATCATATTCATTCTTGCATTTGGAATTAATTAATTGAAATATCTTAGATAAATCTAAAACAATCGAAATTTTGTTCATCAATGTATCATTGATTGTTATGATTGTTATGTTATGATTGTTATGTTGAGCTAAAATTTCATTAAAATATTCATTAAATTCAAATACTTTGACAATCTGTTGATGAATCCATGCATATAGTTTGTTTTAAGTTTTTTATTATAGAATATGGAATAGTTGTAGATAATTTAGTTGTTATATGTTCTTCGGTAACTTCTTCTTCCGTTTCTTTTTCCGTTTGATCAGTTGTTGTTTCGAATTCAGAATATTCAATATTATTTATATCCTCATCATCTTCCACATTTACAACTTCTACAATAACTTCTTAACAAATAATTTGAATATCATTATATCTTCATTTTATATTACTTATGCAACTGTAAATATCGTGTAACAATTATATATCTTTTATATGAATTGTATGATATATCATAATCTCTAATCTAATTTTAAAATTAATTAAATGTAATTTTGTAATAGAATAGAAGATATATGTGATCCCAGAATTGATAAATTATTGAGGAAACATAATAATAAAATTATTGAAATAATAATTATTTAAATTATTGAAACATAATAATATCAGAAACCTTCATCAGATTCATTTTCATATTGATCGTCTTTTATTATTTTCTCTTTTGTATTTTCATCACATAGTTTGCATGTCCTGTAAAATTGATTATGATCTTATCTCATTTTTTCATTCCTTCAAAAATATTTCCTATTTTATGAAAACTTTTTATATGATCAAACAAAATAAAAACTTTTTATATGATCAAACAAAATATTGTTACATCATAATTGTAATCCTTTTCCGATTTACAACAAATAACTTTCATCATTTATCAATGATGAAAGTTATGAAAGTCATTTATCAATGATATTTATCAATATGAAATCCGTTTAAACAAACGGATATATGTAATTTACATATTAGAATATACAGTATACAATGCTGCTTACTTCTTACAAAGTGATTGCATGACACTACGAAATGCATTACTTTGACATAGATGGCTTCTTCGCTTGCAAAACGGTGATTTATCAACACAAATAATTGGAAATTTTCGTTCAGCAACAGTTGACGAAGTGATAAATAAAAATAGAAGCAATATACAATTCTCCAAAAGATAGCGCATTTTCTGCAATAATAAAATTTGATATCAAATAATATTTCGTAATTATTAAAATGAAAAATGATTATTGTGAGATGATTTAACTAGCGATACAACTAACATTGTAACACGTTAAATGTTGACAAACATTAGAGTAGTAGCAAATGATGGCAATACGACATCATTATATCTTAAATGATACACGTAAATAATATTGTTTGAATAGCTATTAAAGGAGTTTTGTCAACTGAATTGATTCTTTTTCAAGTGGAACTGACCTATCACAACAACCATTTCACCTTGACTACCTGTTCTATCTTTCCCAAATAATTCCATTGCAACTGTACTTTTGTTGACTTTAGTGACCATTGGATTAATTTATAAAAACGATATACAATTGTATCATTAAATGACTTATTTCGTGTATTACTACATAAAACGACATTTTTTTACTTTTTAAATTTATATTCGTTATTTATAATTTTTAATACTAAATCGATTATCGAATATAAATTAAAGAATGCATCCAATTGAAATTATAAAGTTTCCAATATTCAAATTCAATGATTATTTAATTTCCACATCGAATTATATAAGTCACAGCAAAGGAAACTTTAAAAATAAATTAATTCCTTTTGTGTTAATTATGTTAATTTAAAAACAAAATATAAATGAAAGTTTTAATTAATGAATTTCTTAATTAAACAAAAAAAATAGCAAAGCTAATTTTACTTCAAAGAATACAAATGAGAAAAATATTCTTTTCTTTTATTCGTTCATTTTTACTACTAAATTTTAATTTTGGAAATTATTAAAATTGAATAAATTCAGATTTTGTACAGAAAGAAATTGTCAATGTGTTTGTTTACTTTTAAATTTAAATATTTTTGCTAAATAAATTACATTCAATTTTGTTTACACATTTTTTTTAAATTTTAATTATAAAATTCTTCATTTCTTTTAATCTATTATTAACTATATTATTATGACAAAAAGTGTAAATTTCCTGGAATAAATTAGCATTTGATCGTAAAGTAGCAAATTTTGTTTACAACTGTAATTTTTGTTTACAATTTTATAATTAGGAATATTAACCAATAATATTTATTTGTGTTTCATTTTCAACAAAGATAACATTTAATATTTACTTATTTATTCGTTTTATTTACTTAATAATTTAAACAATTTACCGTTTAACTGTTACCTATTGAGTGAATGTCACCTGGTTTGTTCTTTTCCAATGAATCGCAATGTCAACCATACTATTATCTATTGAATGAATGTCACCTAGTTTGTTCTTTTCCAATGAATCGCAATGTCAACCATACTATTATCTATTGAGTGAATGTCACCTGGTTTGTTCTTTTCCAATGAATTGCAATGTCAACCATACTATTATCTATTGAGTGAATGTCACCTGGTTTGTTCTTTTCCAATGAATTGCAATGTCAACTATACAGTGCAATGTAATAGTGCAGATTTTTGTTTGCAAATCTAACTTGCAGCCCCATACTCATCTGATAAAATCTTAACTATTGATAAATCATTGTTGTATAGAATTTCATCAACATTTAACATTTATATTCGATTATTTCTATCAGTTAAATTAGAATAAATAGGTAAGAGTATGGGTAAGATAAAAAAAGGTGAATTTCAAAAAATCAATTTCAATCTTTGAAATGCAATGCAGGCTAATTAATTGTAAATATTTTAATTTTGATAAAAACAAATTTATCACAATAAAATTTATTATCTTTTATTTTCAGGGAAGCCATATCCTTAACATTGTATAATGGAGTATGGATGATAAATGGTTGATAATGGATAAGATTGATAAAGAAATCATTTTGATCAACCTGAATTTAGCTTTCAATCTCAATTGAATAAAGAATATGGATAATGTTTATCAAATGAGATAATAATGATTGATAATGGATAAAGTTGATAAAGACTCATCATGATCATCCTGAACTTAATTTTTAAGCACTATTATAATGTTGATTACAGATAAATAAATAATATTTATCGATGTTCGAAAAAAACATTACTTTAATCCATTATTATTTTGTTGACACCTTATGTGAATCAATTAAATCTAAAAAAAAATATATTTATTCGTCTAAATAATCAAAAATTAATATTCCATTTAATGATTGTTATTCATTAAATTATTCATCTTTTGTTTGTTAAAATAATTCATCACTGATAAAAATATTTTATCATTATACTTCTTATATTGTTAACTTGTTAGGCACAATCTAATAAAATAAGAATTTATTGTAAAATTTTAAAATATTGATATCATTGTGTTTGTGTTAGTTATCTGGTTGTCGTAGAACAAAAATAAGATTGATGAAATTTTTCGTTTTTTAAATCATGATAAATTTTTTGTGAAAAAAATTTTTTCCATACAACATTATATTGCATTTCAATGGATTCCTTTAGATAAGAGAAAAGCGATAAAAGATCAATATCATCTGTTTAATTTTTCTTTACGATAGCAATATTAAATTATTTAATAATTTTGTTAATGCTTGAAAAATCATTTATTAAATGATCGTTGTAGCTTTTTTACAACAAAAATCCTCTTCTACAACAAAGATCGTTGTAGCTTTTTTACAACAAAAATCCTCTTCTACAACAAAGATCGTTGTAGCTTTTTTACAACAAAAATCCTCTTCTACAACAAAGATCGTTGTAGCTTTTTTACAACAAAAATCCTCTTCGTATCAAAAATATCATTTGCATAATTTTTGGCCTTTTCTCAAATGTACGAAAACAAATCAAAGTGATAATTTCGATGAGAGTAAAATAAGAAGCTAAGTTTTAAAAGAAATTTCATCCGGTAGGAAAAAAAAAATAAATCAAAAATAATAATAATGTGTTATAAATGTAAATAAATTTAATGATAACATTCATAATCAGTTCTCTTTATCATTTCCAATCATTTCTATGATTTCTTATAGTATCAACATTTAACCAATACTATCATTTTTTTTTTTCTCATTTAGATGTTTATTTTCTTCATATTCAAGATTTTTATAATTAGAGGCTTAGTTGTAATTTATAGTTTAGATTATCACAATTTCATAAATATTCATAAAAGATTAACTATATTGAAATAACTTCATTGATCCTATGAAGATATGATAATATTATAAACGAAGTAATAGTTATAATTTCATTTACGCTTTAATCAACAGAAATAATAAATCATAAAATTAATATTTAATCTATCTTATGAATCATTTCTGTAAACATGAATGTGCCGTTTCTTTTTCTTAAATTAGAAGATTGTTTTCTTTGGTTGTAAACATATTGATAATATTGAATGATAGTAATATTGAATGATAATGATATTGAATGATAGTGATATTGAATGATAGCGATATTGAATGATGACGATATTGAATGGTAGTGATATTGAATGATAGTGAAATTTTTGATCTTTTTTAAATATTTTTCTCCCTTTAGCTAATAACTTCATTTATTCCAATTTTATAGAAATTTTAATAAACGACGAAGTTTCCGAATGAAATTAATAATTTAAAAATTTATCACTTAAAAAATATTTAAAACATTATTAAATTGATATTTCTAATTAATTTGAATGAAATGAACAAACTAAAATTGTTGCCAGTGCCATAATATGCCATAAATGAAAAAAGAACCTTTTGTTGCCAGATGAATAAATATGTCATAATTGAAAGAAGAACACTTTGTTGCCAGTTCAATAAATATGTCATAATTGAAAGAAGAACACTTTGTTGCCAGTTCAATAAATATGCCATAATTGAAAGAAACGTTCTTTGTGACTCAAATATAAAAATGATTAATTAGAAATTTTTGAAAACAAAAAGAAAACATAAATTTTTGAAATATTTCAAATTAATTTTTTGATCGTTAAGCTAAAAATTTTTATCACAAAATATTTAAATTATCAAAGAACAAAGTAAATGATGCATTCAAAAATTAAAATATTTATTTTTCTCTTTCAAATATTTTATGCAAAAAAGGATAGAGAGAGAGAGAGAGAGAGAGAGAGAGTGAGATCATTTTTCTTTTTCGTAATTTTCGTTTCTTTGTTTTCAGATAATTAAATTTGTGGAATTTATAGAATGGAATTTAATTTCCTTTCAATATTTAATAATAATTTGAAAGAAGTAAAAATGCTTCTGAATCTTTTGAATATAAAAAATCTTCGAAGGTGTAAGTAACACTTTCCTTATTTACTAATAGCTTTGGGCTAATTCAATTTGAACGAAAACATATCCATCGATGATGGTTACGGTAGAAGAAAAGGTTAGAAAATATTTTCAAATATTTTTGTTTTCTTTTTCAGATATTAAATTAAGAGAGAGAGAGAGAGAAAGAAAGAGAGAGAGAAAAATAACCAAGGCTATTCTAGTAATTTAATTTTATTTTAGTACATTTAGCAAATTTTTTTTAAAAAAAAGAAATCCAAAAAGTAGAGTAAATGAGAGAGAGAGAGAGAGAGAGAGAGGGAAAGGGAGAGTAATTTTCTCTCATATCTTTTATTTCAAATAAACTGTAATAGAAAATTTAAAATTATACAAACAGAAGTTTCTTAAGTCTAAAATTACTAAAACACAATGTGATGATATGTTAGAAAATGTTAGCACCGTTAAATGATAAGATTAATTTCTTATCATTTTTTAAATTATCAACATTAATATATCTTGAAAAAGAAAAAAAACAAACAAACAAACAAATAAACAAAAAAAAGTTGGGATAAATTTCAAACATTTGTAGAGAAAAATGATAGTTTTCATTTCACTTTTAATATAATGCAATAATTTGTTTAATAAATTAATAACTATTTTAACTAAACAATTCATAATTTTTATAATTCTATTAAAGCAGACTATAAAACATACCTGTTAATATACCTGTAAACATTATCAAGTTTTTTTCCCTCATCGATTCATTATTATTATGCAAGGAATTTACAAAACAGTTAACTTATTATTTTATTTTACAAATTATTTTATTATTTTACAAAT